GCATAGCCTACTTCTCTTTTACTATATAAACCCCTGTATTTTACCTTGTAAAAACAACAAGAAATCCAATCCAGACTTCTTCTCTACTCTCAAGTTCACTACTCTACTACTTGTGATCCAGAGTGGTCACAACACTTCCCACTTCTACCACTGTTAACTGCTGTCATTGTCACTCGTCACTTTTGAAAGTGATTGTCATCCCCTTCGATTAGAGTCCTTCTGAGCACTACAGTTTGTGCGTCAGGAGCCTGCTATCACTGGGAACCTCGTCACCTCGTCATCCTTGTTGTTCTCAAACCTACCTTGTGCTACAATTAGCAAGGTAGTGCTCGTCTATACTCGCCACAAAGCCCCTATCTTTCTATATTCCAACTATCCCTCCTCCTCAAAACCCACACCCATACATCACTGGGTTTTACTTTGAAGGATCCTTATACATACCACCCCACGAACAACCAGAGCACCCACTGTTCTAGGAGGCAAAGCCCATAAACAAGTTCCGTGGAATCTGGGAGGATTGTGTGTTAGTTTGTTTTTGTGTGTGGTTTTCTAACTGCAGTTCTCATCATCGACACCGGCCGGCGGTTGGTGAGAATTCTTAGCCATGGCACATCTCAGACAGGATTTTACGTATTCCTGTACGTCTTTGACCATGCCAGGCCACATGTAGTTTCTGGAGATCAACTCCATTGTTCATTGCCACCCAGGGTGCCCAGCCACTGGAGTGTCATGATGTCTATCTATTGCCTTGATCCTTGCGGACTCAGGCACATAGATTTTGTTTTTAAAATGGAAGAGCCCGTCTTCCCATAAGTAGTTTTCATTGCCATCAAGGTGCGCCTTCTCTTCTGAGGGGATGTCTTTCTTGAAGGCTTCCAGAAAATCAGAATCCTGCCCGATTCTAACATTGGCAACCCTTGATTGGTCTATCAGGGTAACACCTTTGTTATCATCTTCTATACCGTTGGCATGATCCTCTCTTCTGGACAAAGTGTCCGCTTTTCCCATAGAGCTTCCAGGCTTATGAATTAATTTGTAATTAAACCTAGACAAGTACACCGCGTAGCGGGCCTGTCTCCGGTTCAAGTCTCAGGCTGTTATAAAATACTCCAGATTCTTATTATCAGTCCAAATTTCAAATTGGTGCCTAGCACCTTCTAAGTAGTGCCGCCAGTGCTCTAAAGCTCTAATGATGGCCAGCATCTTCTTATTGTAAATTTGATAGTTGCGCTCTGTAGGTGACAAACTATGCAATAAATAGGCACAAGGCCTCCAAAGATCGTCAGGGCATTTAATGGATAGAACAGCCCCAGTAGCAAAATCAGAAGAGTCGGTTTCTAGCTGGAACTCTTTGTCTAATTCTGGAAATGCTAATATGGGCACTGTTGTAAATGCCCGTTTAAGCTTATCAAAAGCTTCTTGTTCTTTGGCGCCCCAGTGCCAAACAATATCCTTTTTAGTGAGATTGTTTAACGGTCTCGTGATTTTTGCGAAGTTTTCGATAAACCTTCGGTAGAAATTTCCTAAGCCAAGGAAGGCCCTAACTCCTTTGACATGAGTAGGCTCTGGCCAGTCCAATATAGCTTGAACTTTCTCAGGATCCATCCTGATTCCATTCTGGCCTATGATCATACCGAGGAAGTCTACTTCCTTCACTTTAAAATTACATTTTTCAGGTTTGACGAATAGGTCCCGTTCCTGTAAGTGTCGGAGGACTTCTTGCATGATCCTGTCATGCTCAGCCTCTTTGTCCGACTTTGTAAATATCAACAAATTGTCAATGTAAATGACAACACAGTCTTCCATATCCGCAAAGATCTCGTTTATCATGCTCTGGAAGGTTGCCAGTGAATTGGTCAACCCAAAGAACATGACAAGGGGCTCGAAGGATTCTCGGTGGCACGTGAACGCGGCCTTCCAAGCATCTTCTTCTTTGATTCATACATTATTGTACCCCCCATCTAAGATCCATCTTTGTTAAGATCTTGGCACCAGCCAATTTATCTACTAGCTGACTGATCAAAGGCATCAAATACGCATTTTCAACCGTGCACTCATTCAAGTAATGATAGTCCATAATCATACACTTTTTACCATCCTTTTTAGGAATGAAGAACTCCAGGGACGTTATAGGGCTTTTGGAAGGTCTGATGTAACCCTTCCTAAGCTGTTCATCTATGAAATTTGATACCTCATCTCTTTCTAGAGCAGAAAGTGGTATCATGTGTCCTTTTCTCGGTTTGAAGGTGTCCTTCAATTCTATAGCATGGTCTCAAGGCTTAGCCTCTGGGAAGCGCTCTGATTTATGTTTTAAAAAGACTTTCCAGAAGTCATGGTACTCGGGAGGTACCAGCCTCTTAATCTCTTCCTCGGGTTTTACCTTGTCATTGTTATTGTCAATCTTTTCTAAAGATCTGAGCTCATAAACGTGACCAGCGTTTATTTTTTCAATACGCTCAGTTTGATGGACGCAACTTGGTTTACCCAAGTTTTCACACTCCTGAGGACAACGTGACAATGTGACAACCCCTGTCTGCCAGTTGATCTCAGGATTGTGTTTAAACAGCCAGGTCCAGCCCAAGATTAAATTAATCTTCCCTAGTTGGGTAGCTTTGGCGGTGACTCATTCTCTGTGTCCTTGGTACTCGACAACAAAAGAATATTTGTGCGTGATACAGCCACCCGCGTTAAGCATACCATCAACGTTATAGACAGGAATAGATACATCTAATTTTACAAGGGGGAGTCCAATTTGCTCTGCCCAAACCTGATCTATGAAGATGCCGTTAGCGCCTGAATCAAGCAGTGCACTGGTTGGGTGTACTATGCCCCGGGCAAGGTTTTCCACACCAACATCTAGACAGTGTCAATGATGAGAACTGCAGTTAGAAAACCACACACAAAAACAAACTAACACACAATCCTCCCAGATTCCACGGAACTTGTTTATGGGCTTTGCCTCCTAGAACAGTGGGTGCTCTGGTTGTTCGTGGGGTGGTATGTATAAGGATCCTTCAAAGTAAAACCCAGTGATGTATGGGTGTGGGTTTTGAGGAGGAGGGATAGTTGGAATATAGAAAGATAGGGGCTTTGTGGCGAGTATAGACGAGCACTACCTTGCTAATTGTAGCACAAGGTAGGTTTGAGAACAACAAGGATGACGAGGTGACGAGGTTCCCAGTGATAGCAGGCTCCTGACGCACAAACTGTAGTGCTCAGAAGGACTCTAATCGAAGGGGATGACAATCACTTTCAAAAGTGACGAGTGACAATGACAGCAGTTAACAGTGGTAGAAGTGGGAAGTGTTGTGACCACTCTGGATCACAAGTAGTAGAGTAGTGAACTTGAGAGTAGAGAAGAAGTCTGGATTGGATTTCTTGTTGTTTTTACAAGGTAAAATACAGGGGTTTATATAGTAAAAGAGAAGTAGGCTATGCACAGTATAGCTGTGCAAAAAGAATGAGAAAGAATATGAAGGAAGGAATGTACGCTGACGAATCCTGTGTAGGTAGTACAGGATAAGATTATCAAAAAAAGAAAAGAAAGGGATAGAACAATAAATGCTGTGAGTAATGTCACAGGTTTGTACAGCTATAAAGTAAAGTCCAATAGCAAAAAGAGAGCAGGAAGATCATGATGTCATGGGAAGATGCAGTAAAAAAAGGGCAAGGCAAAACACTATCAGTATCAACACAGTTCCTTTATTGTCAGTCAGGCATTCTAAAAAAATATGTGTCCATAAAAATGATTCAAAAATCAAAAATAATCGCACTGTAAATGAATGTTCTGCTGAAAAAAAAAGAAACTGGAGCCACCGGTCCACCACCTAGTCCAAATCTGATAGTTCCATGGCCTTACCAATGGACTGGTTGTGTTGGACCACCTGATCAAACGAGGGAGGGAGAGGAGTAGTTCCAATTTGGAACAAGTGAGTCCCAGGCAGCGTGTGGTAGGTGTAGCTGTAGCGAAGACGATGGACAAATGATAAGTGTACCCAAGTGAATGGGACAGCGATGAACATAGGCGACGCAAGGGGATGAACCTTCTCCAGCTCAAAAACTACCCACCCACGCTCCAACCAGGCAAGACGAGTGACCGATGTTTTGATAGTATATGATGGCAGATCGACGTCATGAAGATGGACCTGTTGCCCTATTTGGACCGGCCGCCGGGGCTTTGCTGATATCAGCAGTGGCACGTGGTAGTCAACAGATCGGCAACGGAAGCGGATAGGAAGTGGTGACATCAGAAATGGTGGGGGTGCAAATAAGATGAGGAGGAGGAGGGTGGAGGTGACGGAAAAGTGGATTAGAATGGGGATCCAGAAATGACCGTCAGGTGAGAATAAAAAGGAGAGGAAGGGGCCCATGGTGGGGCTAGGCAAAGGAAGGGGAGTAAGGGAAACGACAAAAGCGAGGGCACAATGCAATGTGTAGCCAGTGGCGACGCGAAAATTTGCCGAAATGCCGAAACACGGAAAGTACCGGATGGAAAAGCAAAGGTGAGCATGACTGGATTGCCTAATAGAGGTGGTGCTGATCAGCCACAAGTTCAAAAAGGGCAATATTAATTACTATTCCACGTGGCACTGTGCCTGTGTGGCGCAAAGGCGAGTCTTTTGAATATTCGCTTCATTATTGACACCTGTCCATGCTACCAATCAACTTTGGTGCATGACACCGGGACAGTGCATAGACCGGCCTGGACCGGTTGTAATCACCCAGGAAGGTGAAGAAGAGTTCGAAGTCGAACAAGTGGTGGATGCACACTTGAAGCGTGGAAAATTAGAGTTCCTAGTCCTATGGAGGGGCTATGGAGATGAGGACAGAACGTGGGAACCAGAAGCCCATCTGGACAATTCCCATGAAGCTGTTCGCGAATTTTATTCTAAGAATCCCTCGGCTCCTAGGAAGCTTAGAGGCATTGATTCAAACCTTTTTAATTCCCTTTTTCAACCTATGCCCGAAAATTTAACTACTACCTCTGGTATTTGGTCTTGCCTGGAAGTCGAGCCTTAGGAGGGGGGTAATGTTATAATACACAATTTTTGGACCTTTAATTTTCATTCTCCTCTTTAACCTTTTTCTGTAGTTTTCACACACTGTGCCATGCGGCACTTTCCCCTTTGTTCAAACTCCTCTTTCTTGCGCTACACTGTGTAACAACCAAGAGTTATTTACTCTGGCGCACACAGGAACACACTATAAAGAAGATGATGGGGAGTGGTTACCCCTTAGGCTGCAGTGAGTTAGTTGTGCTAGACAACAGGAGGACTCGCTGAGTCCTTCCCCATGTATTGCTCTTGTATATATACTAAAATACATGAGGTACTGTACAGTTGTAAATAAAGTTCAAAGTCCAATGTCTAGCATGTGACCCGGTCACATGATGAGTCTAGACACTGGTCAGGTGATGTGTCACATGACTGGTCATGTGACTATGAAAAGTCGAAAATGTAAAAAGTAAAGTAAATGGTCACATGATTGGTCATGTGACTTGGAAAATAAAAGTAGAAGTACAAAAGTGAAGTGTAAGTAGGTGTTGGTATGTTAATTGTAACACACTGCCTTTTCCTTATTTTTGGATACAACTCTCTCACGCAGTGGAGCTGGTCACACGGGTCATAAACCTAAGTGAAACTCAGCCGCTGCCCGAGAGGCTATAGAAATGACTGAGGTATTTCTATACTAAACCCCCTACTACTTATAGTCAGAGGTGCTACTCACTACAGTATAATGACTCCTAGGAGAACAATGGTGACTCCATGGAGTGGTGGCTATGCTCCATGGAGAACAATGGCTGCTTTGGCAGAGACCGGGTTTATCTGATTTTGTCAACAGGCAGTGCCCCTTGACATCATCAGCCACTGCCTCCATCAACTGTGCAGTACACATGTACAAACAACCCTGTAGTAGTAAATATACCCTAATAGATCAAGGAGACTCCTCAGCAAGTCCTCCTGTTGTATCCTCACAACTAACTTGTTGAAGCCTAAAGGGTAACCACTCCCTCGTCATCCTCTCTATAGCTTGTCTGAGTTGTGCGCCAGAGTAACAAACTCCTGGTTGTTACAGTCTAAGCCAAACTCCTTATTCAGCCATGATATCTGCTGAATGGCTGACAGGCCTGAACCATTGTTCTCTTTTGCATACTGCTTAAAGCCTTCTTGCAACTCATCATCTGGAGGGTCTGTGAACAGTCTCAGTGAAGCACAGCACAAAAAAAACCACACAAACAGTGTTTCTCTCCCCACTCATTTTGTCTGAATGAATTGGGCATTGAAGGCCGAGGTCTAAAAGGTTGTATTTTGTAGCTCGTCAATTATCTGAGCCTCAGCGACGGTTTGCAGATACAGTTCAAGTTGCAGGACAAAAATATGTTTGTACATATTAACTCAACTGAGTGCAAGTGAACCATGGACTTCCGGCCATTCCTACACGAGTCAGGTGGTGGTTTTGATGTTCAAGCAAAGGTGCATTTGAAAAAACATAACTACTGGGCATATTAATAATTCTGATCATCTGTGGTGTTGTTGATTGTCATCTGAATGACTCCTCCGCTCTTAAACAGGATTGAACAACTTGTTATAAAAGCATACCTCAGGCATCGAACAGCTAGCTCAAGATGAAGGAAGTACTGAATGTGGATACCACGAACTTCTGTTTGGGAGAATAAGAAAAACCTCAGTCCATTGCAAACTCAAACAATATAACATGGTACAATATAGCAAAGGCACCTAATGCGCGAGCATTGGGTGATCATTCCACATTTGGCACTGCAATTTGCCAGAGTAAGTGTGATAAGCAGTACGTAAGGAAAACTGCAGATCCTTCAGGGCATCTGGAGCCAGTATTCAAGGAGCTTGGGGAACCTGGGGGTACCCAAACCAGTGACGGGGTCCCATCCAGGAGTGGAGTTGAAGCCTAGAGTACCACAGCCTGGGTTCGAGCCGTTGGTGATATCGTTGAAGGCGTCAGAGAAGTTACTCGAGTATATCTAATCAAGGGACAACGTGAATTAGAATTAGAGGAGAGTACACGAGCAATCCTCCATAAAAACAACGTACGGTAGGGTTGATGAATCCGATGGGTTTCTTGTTCGTAGCAAGTCGTGCGTCATTGACCATGGTCAAGATGGCACCAACGACGGGAGACGAAGCAGAAGTGCCATAAACAAGGCTGAAGTTGCCGTCAATCTGTGAGACGGAGAAGTTATCAGGAAGACTCCACAAGGGGGAAAATAACATCTCACAGCGACTACGTAGTTAGCTC